ACAAAGTTTCACATAAATTTCTAAACCCCATTTTGCACCCTCAAGGGTGGAATGTTCAATAATCCTTTTTTAGTGTACACCTACGTCACCTAAGGAACATTTGTGCAAAATTTAATGCTTCTAGACCCAGCGGTTTTAGCTGTGCGTTGATCAACCAGTCGGTGAATCAGTCTGTCAGTGTCTGCTTTTATATAATATAGAGATTTATATATTCCCTCTTTCTATCTCCATTTTTTTTTTGCCGTCAAGTCTTGTATATTTACTGAAGTTTAGTGCACCTAATCACTCATTTCCACACCACCCCAAGGTAGACTAGCAGAGAATGCCTGTGGCATTAAGTCCACCTTTGCAAGATTTTTTTGTGCATGATGCATTAAATAATAATAATAAATTCTTAATTGTAACAAAAAATGCATACAATTCAAGTGCAAGCATTGATTTCCAAAACTAGCGTGATACAATAAATTGTTATAATAATAAAATAAATAAATATAGATAACTAAATGGATTGAATGACCAAATGAACTGAATAGGAGTTTTCCTGTAATATATGCTAAAATGGCACTTATCGTGTAATAACGGCAACGTTTTCCTTATACCGGCTGCATAATGTGGCGACATCGAATATATCAACATCGTGCAGTAAAAAAGAGCTGAACTATTATTTTATTATCTCATTTATTTTTTAAATAGTATTTTTTTTATTTTCATATGTAGAAGTCAATTGTGAAGGCCTGTTCCAATACGTAGATCCTGTGGAGAAGAACAGCAAGAAAACTACAAGGATATTCTTTTTTAATATTAGTATTTTTACAAGTTTCTTGTAAAATTACTTGTTATTTATTACATGCCACCTTAGTAGTGTAAAGAAAGTAAATTTTAGAAGTATAATATCCACGCTTAAATTTAACAAAACTATGACGATAAGTTAAAAACTAGCTATCCTAAAATAAAAATTTGTGGAAATATCATAATCATCATCAACAGCCTTTGGTACTCCACTGTTGGACATAGGCCTCTCCTTAGAAAGGAGGTTTGTGCCAATATTGAATTTGGAATATAGACATTTTTATTTATTGAATATACACGCAACAAAAGACTTTTGAGCTAGCCTTAGGCGGGCCAAATAGTATGACCGATAAATAAATAAAATATATCTAAAAACACGACAGAAACTAAGCACATGCAGCAAGGACAAGGGACCCCCGATGCGTAGCGGGATATTTCATGCTTACAAAAAATCCAGAATTAACAATTGTTATGGAGAAACTGACACCCGCCCTTCTCTTCAGGGTGTCTGTCACTAACCGCTTATTTTGACAATTTTGTCCGTTTACTAATTACATTGTTTTTAAAACACTTACTTTTTTTGACTAATTCTTTCTTGGTTTAAATTATGAGCGATTGATAATTCTAACAATAAAAAGAATTATGACGTTTGCAAGTGTACAATATTTTTATTTCTATTTACATATTTTACCTAGTTACATTACTCATAGAATAAATGTCATAAAAACTGAATTAGAGATATGTTTTCTTATTGAGTGCATTCCCTTCACAAACAGACTAACAATATTATTTCAGTTTTAGAATAGGTATTCACATCTGATTTTTGAAATTTTCTAAGCATAAATTTTAATGTCAAAAACAATGAAAAGAAATTGCAAACTACAAAAGTATCTCAGAGAATCTTGTCTGTAGCCAGAAGATATGTTTTTTATTGTATAAGGGGGCAAACGAATAGACGGGTCTCCTCATGGAAAATAACTATCACCTGCAACCTTAGAGTCACAACTGTGTTGCCGCCCTTTGAGTCCTTTAATCAAGATAAGGAGGTTTTGGGCTCCGGTTTACCCACTCACTCGGTGAAAAGCAATGATAAAATTGCTTACACCGGTTTTCTGTGGTAACGTGGTTACATTTTGACTGCACGAATGGCGTAGTGGTTAAAGCGGTCGCCACGAAGCGTATTACTACGCTGAGTGTTGTGGGCTCGATCCCCACTTTGGGGAATGACACTTTGTGTCATTGCGTAGTACTTATATCTCGATGCTTCGTGTGATCTACAAAATTTTGTTCTGAGTCTGGGTGTTCTTTGTGTCCGTTTCATGTATGTCTCTCACACGGTTAATAATTAAATAATAGTCTACATTATTTTATATTATAATATTTTCTATTAAAAAACCGTTTTCTATTATATTTACGTTAGTTTATATCAGAGATAGAAATAATGTTTTTTCCCTTACGAGTATAAGTATAACTATAGATGATATCACAGCACCTGAAAACTCTATTTTCCAAAGTATTATATTATTATATGTTTTCATTAATTGCTATATATATATGTTGTATACAATACGTATTACTTATTATTCATCTTGCGTTCATGACTTGTACCACAAATTGTTCGCAAGCATTCACTGAATTTGTCACGACACCCGTGGCGTCTGTTTGTGTATCGCTTATTCACCCGGATGCCTTTACTTATTTGTTTTATGCCGTTCTTCAACACGATACATTGAGACAATTATACGTCACAGTGTGATAGTCCACTGTCAGTGCAGTGCGCTAAATACGGAGTGACAACTAGCATTCATCGGCAAATGTTGACGGTCTGTTTGAAATTAAGTCGTCTTTGTGCATACATGGTACATTTCAGCTTGTTCTTTTGTACGTACAGTTTGCTTTAGCCTATAAAAGGTATCGTTTTTTATTAAAGCAATAAACAATTGAACCAAACCTGTTTTCAGATGAGTAAAATATGCATGAGCCGTCAAATTAGTTAAAATTAACAAGGGTTAAATTTTGATATTTTGAAGAATTAACGTAACATTTTCTTTAAGGATATCTGGGAAAAGGTTGCTAGAACTTCTGAACTTACAAATAGAAACACAACTTTATGTTGTAATACGATTCTCTCGAAGAACGTTTTGTTTTAAACTTTATTTTATTTCTGGCTTAATCCTTAAGTTGGAAAGCAGAATGGATTGCGAACATATTTCTAAGCTAACTAATTGAGTTATTTATGTATCTTATCTAAAAAAGTAATCGACTGACGATGTTTGAAAACTCATCCACCAAGTTGGTTGTATTAATGAGAGTACTCTGTGAACAATCTTACAATTTGAATATATGCAAATACAAAGAAAAATAGGTTTCTTTATTTAAATTCATCATTTAATCGTATTTTTATAAGCCTTTTTGAATTGAATTAAGTGGATATTGAACACAGATTGAATTCCTACTTTTAGTGGTCAACTATCATTCCAATCATCAATTCCTTATCATCTAAAATCAACGTATCTAATCTAATCTTTGGATTATGTAACTTAACTAAAGGGAATTGTTGGTTTCAATCAATCACATTCAATTTAGAACATTTAAAATCTAATAAGTGTCAGTCTATAAATGATTAGTAAAACAGTAGGCAGACTAAACAAATAACGCTGCGTATCTTTAACGTAACTATGGCACATTATAATTCTATTACCACCATACCAAGTATCGCTTATCTGCCTACATTTTGTCTACATATTTTAAACAGTACGTAGTTATTTTAGTGTAAAACTGAAAATAGTAATAAGAGGGCGATCACTCCTCGTCTATTCGTGTACTAATAAAGTTATTTCAGTCCTTCCGATATACCGGGTGTCGGGCTAACCACAACCAAAGTTAATGAATTTCTATACAAAACGAGTCGCATACCACTCTTTCAGTATTTTAAACACATCTTCCTGCTTCCTTTATTTTCAAACTGTTCTTTCTTTAAGTTCAATTCCTAAACAAACCTTGTCAGTTCCTTTAAATACTTATAATTTATACTTTCAGCTGTTAGTAGATGATTATTGATTGAGATAATTTGAGATAAATGTAACAACTTGGCAATAGTATTTTAATCCTCGGTCTTCTTCGTCGTATCAACGGATGAACACCCCTAAATGTTGTTCGCGCAAAATTACGCCACAGCCACGGCATTGTCCGTTGCTCTTCACAGCACCTCCACAGTGTAGCTGGAGAGGCGCAGTGGACAAGAAAGCAAATCTGGCATGGTTTGCATTGGAGAGCCACATTCATAGCGCGTTAACGACTGGTCTATGTAGACCCAATTTGCCATGTTGCTCTTACAACGACCAACCTGCGTGAGTAACCGCTTCAGTGATCGCCATTGCAGTTGGTGGCAGGTTTTCTAAAGGTTTGATGAAACCTGCCGGGACAGGATGTTTAGTTGCCACATTTGCTCTCGGGCCCGTTGTGGAGAAATACTATTGGTAGCAATTTGAGTTGATCTCAGAAAGCTTCTTCGGCTCTTTAGGCGCGCAGGAGGTAAATTCGGATGTCTGTAGGAACAATGCCCGCAAGGGAATACAACATGCTCCACGGGGTAGGTTTGAGGCAACCTGTGTTGATCCGGCATGTCTAGTTTAAGGCAACATCAACCTCCTTAGCGTGAGCGAATCTATGCCACACCCTCACATCTGGGCACCCGTAGTCTCCAACAGAAAAAGAGAGCGAAAGACCAGAGATACGGAGGACATGAGGAGTTGCTTCCCAGAACGATGATGTGAGTCGTTGCAGCAAGTTATTCCTGGGCCCAATTTTTTGCTTGGTATTATAATGTCTTCGGTACGTCAAGGCTCTGTCAAGGGGTATGCTAAGGTAGCGAGAGTTAGGACAGTGATCTAAATCAACGTCTCGCCACGTTAACTTTAGCGTTCTGCCCGCTAACCGTTTGCGAAGATGCAATACACATGATTGAGTTTTCGATGGATTTGGTCTTAAGGCATTTTCATCAAGTGGGTTCAGTGCTGTTTCAACCTCTTCGAAAGAAGGCGCCTGAGCTATAAGTGCAAAGTCGTCTGCATAGACAAAGCGTTGAGTCCCTGGTGTTTTGGGCTTTTCATTTTGTATATGTTAAATAGGATTGAGGCCAGTACACTGCATCTGCTTTTGCAGTTGGACTTGGATTGTACACCACTTCTCTGAAGATGCTGACAAATCCTTTAGTTAGTATTAGTTATTTCATGAAGCTTCATCAGTAGTCTTCTAATCTTTACGGTGTCAAAAGCTGCTGTAAGGGCCCACAAATACGACACCGGTGACTTTTTGGGTTTCGAAGCCTCCTCGATATATTGAACTAAGTTCAGAGTTTGTTTGGTACACGACTTGCCGGGTAGGCACCCAGCTTGTTCTGGTATGAGAGATGATTCTAAGACTGGTGTAAAGCAGTTCAATAGCATTCTCCCAAACAGCTTGAAAGAATAACACAACAGTGAAATCGGATGGTAGCTCTTTGGATCCGATGGGCATTTGCCTGGCATAAGAATGGCTACAACCTTGGCTCGTCTCCATAATTTGGGGATCTTTAGGCCTTGAAGGCATGAATTATACATGTCCAAGAGCCAAGACACAGCTACAGGTCCTAGTTCATTCATCTGTTCCACCGTTATGTCATCTTCCCCGGCAGCTTAACCACATTTTAAAGATCTAATACCAGACACGATCTCGGTCAAGTAGAAAAATTTACTAATGATGTCCGTATTATATTCGGATGTATAACAACAATTGAACCGAAACAAGCGTTGTGGGGCCTTTCCGTTTTTTAAAGTTGTTGTGCAACTTGGTATGGTCTTACTTGGCAAGGGTTAGTTGCTTGGGTGTTTATAAGTTTTTTAATAGTCGACCAAGCTTTTTTGCCGTTGTGCGTCATATCTATAGTGGACACAAGATTTATCAATGTTTGCTTGCGGTCTTTTCCGACTAAACGCATAAGCTCCCTGCTAGCCTCAACGGTCTCACTAGGGAACGGATCTATCTCACACAAACATTGATAATTAGACAACAACTTTTCAGAATCGTTGTTAAGACCCGTGACGTAAAACCTACGACATCCTTAGGGGATGTATTTCCTTGATATCATTTCCGAGGTCTGGTCCCCAAGTTGGTTGGCGCGGCTGCTGCCCAACATGAAGGGACCCGATGACTCCTGCAGGAGACTCTACTCGGGGGTTGTGCAGTCCATGGCCCTTTACGGGTGCCCAGTGTGGGCGGGGGCCCTGAAGGCCAGCAACGTAGCGATACTGCGACGACCGCAGCGAGTGTAAAGAAATAAATATAATGACAGTGGCAAGTCAATATATTTATGAAAATGTAATATATGTTCACAAAAATAAAGATAGCTTTTTGAAAAAAAGTGATGTACATGCCATAAATACCAGAAATAAAAATAAATTTGTTGTACCCGCCTCTAGGCTCCAAAAGATAAACAAGTCTTTTCGAGGTCAATGTGTCCGATTTTATAATAAAATCCCAAATAATATTCAGGAGTTGAGTATTAACAAATTTAAATCCGCAATAAAACGTGGCTTGTGCAAGAGGGCCTACTACTCGATTGTGGATTACATGGAGGACAAGAATGCTTGGGATTAATTAGCGCAGGCTATTTCTTTCTTAAGTAAAAATGTGGTGTGGCTAGTATGTTTTTTATTATTTTTTCTATTTTTTATGTTTCACTTCATTTTCTCTTGTATTCGTTTGTTCTTCTTAATCTTGTTTTCTCTTCGTTGTTTTTTCACCTTTAAGTCCTTAATAACGGACATACTAGCACACATCAAAACAATGTTGTGATATATTTAATAGTGCCATTGTATCTACTTGTGAATTGCAAAAGAGTGGCCATGAGTTTGTTTGCCCTTTCTTCTCATAAGGCTCAACCCCTTGGAAACGGGCGGTTGTAGATCGGCACAGGCATATCATAGATTTTGTATGGGTTTGATTTTGTTAAATTTATTTGGTTACTATTTGACAAAACAGAGATTGTTGCTTTTGTGTGTGTTGATCTATGACTTTAGAGTCTACATGGAAGACGATTTCAAACAATTTTGAAAATTTTATGAAATAAAGAAAGTTTGAGTTTGAGTTTGAGTTTGAGTGCTAGCCATCAGGATCATAAGGGGGTACCGCACGATCTCCTTTGAGGCGGCGAGTCGCCTGGCCGGAACTCCACCGTGGGACCTGGAGGCGAGAGCCCTTGCGGCTCTGTATCAGTGAAGGAGGCGCGGGAGTTGGGTCAATGCCCCGAGATTCGAGAAATCGATGACCGGAAATCCCAACTCCGCCAGGTCATCATAGGGGAGTGGAGGGAACGACTCGGGCAACCGAGCGCCGGGCCGGAAAGTTTGGAGTCGGTGAAAACAAAAAGTATTTTGGGAGGTTTGTAAATAGAAGTTGTTTTAAATCTCTGTGGGTTTCCTGGATACAGAGAATGTCGCACTGCATATTTTTACACAAAAGAGAAGATCCCTCTCTATTCGCAGACATGATGACCAAAACAGGGCGGAGGGCTCCGGGAGAACAGAACAACTTGTTGTTCTTGTGTTTTGGCCCTGAAAAGGAACGTTGTTATACTTTGTGGACGAGGGGGGACCAGTAGGTGTTCAAACCATTGTGTTGAGAGGATTAGTCAGCCTAGACACTGCGTTACCGTGTCTAGCTGCTTCCAGATGCGTCGTGGATAGGATCCTTCATGCACCCGGTCCCGGTCCAACCCTCGGTGAAAGATGTTGTGTTCAAGTGTTCTTTTATATCTTACAAAGCCTTATAGAAATTTCTTGATGATCAGTGTTTAATAATAATAATAAATTTATTTCAGACATTAATAAATGTGTTAATAACAATCATCCACAACTATGTTTGTTCTACATTACAACAAAAACAAATTAAAAAATAAATTGTGGGGATGCGCTAGCATGCAGACGCATCTACCTTTGTAGGACTGGAAGGTCCCACCTCTTGGACGATACTCTCAGGATGCCATTGCTGCTGCCTAGCAGTCGATTGGACATTGACGCGCTCCTGAAGCATTTGCAGCAGCACCCTGAAAGTATTGTTGTACTGGACACGTGGTGCGCTGTAAGCCCGCTGCGTAAAGTTAGGCCACAGGCAGCCACATGAACTATATGATTATGAAAAGAGTAACATTGACTGGTATGGTACAACGTGCAAACCTACGCTACGTTTAATGACAATAAAGTAACAATTTAACTTACTTACTATTTTATAATATTAGGAACAATAAATTGTTCAACAATTTAATCCTGGGTCAATATTTTCTTGGATGCCTAATTCTGTACTGCGGCAGCCCTTACAAAGGTCACCGCAAAGAATTAATTCTACAATTTGAATTTCATCAAATGTTAACGCTAACCCTAAAATTGTGATGTTTATTTCTCTGAATGTGATATTTTAACACTAAGTGAATTCAAAATTCTTACGCTATTATTACCAACTAGAATCGATATTATTATTCATTGAACAATTTCAACGGAAATCGGCACACAGGTAGGCTGTTGGACGGATGACAATGGAGATTCCTTTTACCCACGAAGGATATCTACTGCCTCCTACTTACATTAAGCAGAAAAGATTTGAAAAAATCATTGTGGGAATAGCATCTTATGTTGTAAGTATGACGTTTAAGCTGTATTTAAATAGACACTTAGCATTGATCTCATTTGGTGTGAACTTGTAATATATATGTTTTCTATTTTACATTATCTCATACAGTACCCATTTAAAATAACCACATAACAGCAATCTGTGTGGTTATTTTCTCGACACGTAATGATTCTCGACGCTTCATTAAGTGTAGTAGCAGTAACACTACTACACCCGACACTTGTATTAAGTATAACCTATCTCTGCTCTGCTCACGCATAGCTTTGGCCATCTTATTCACCAAAAGAAAAGAGAGCGTAACGCTGTCTAAGTGTCTAACGTCTACACGAGTATCTTTGGGTCTCCACTTCAAGCAAAATTCTACAGCGAATTATTGTCTAACTCAAAAAAAATGGGAATTCTGTGAAGATATTATAAACAAAATCAAATGAGACCGAATACAGTTCACTCAAAAACCATACAATCAATTTACTCAATCAATTTACTCTCTTACAAAAGTTTACAGTTTAGTATCTACGTAAGTTATGTAGTAGGATGACGTCATTTACCAGGATTTTTCAACCAGATCAAATAAAAAAGACGTTTTAACTTAAAACTTGAAATTGATTAATCTAATACTGTATATATTTTATTGCTAGTAGCCAAACTTACTAATATCAAAACTAAAAGCATATAATATAATCCATAGAACTACCCTAAGCGAGAGAGAATTGCTGTCCAAAGATGTAAATGGTTCGACGCTTGAAAATCGGACAGCGCTGTCTAGACTCAATTCCCGTATGGCTCCTCGAACCAGTCTCACGCCCCCAAGGTAAATAAATTAATCTCTACACAGTTTATTTTTACATATTACTAAATAAATGTAAATACATTCTCATTAATGAAAAATCTTAAACTTTCTGTAAAAAAGTAACAGAGTGTGCATTTTTGAAATGTAGTTCTTTTTTTGGTACCTACTAGTAAGCAACAGAAGATAGCAGAATTAATAAAATGGCCTTTTATAACTACAAACAGGTAAAACTGCATAAAGAGCTTATAGGACCTTACTATCAGCATAAAAGCATCGTCTAGGTATCTATACAAGTTCACTTGTCAATAACTAGAGAAAATATTCATTCATATACTTGTTTATGTAAATGAAAAATTACTCATATTTTAGTTAACTTGTTCTCTATCTGCCTATCAATCTTGATATTATTATACCCATAGATATAAATCTTCTTACTAGCTTTTTTCTTACAGAGAATGAATATTGAGAGCGAGAGACGAACTTTTTAACTGCAAAAAGTTCGTCTTGAGCACTTAGATCACCATTTCAAACATCGCTGCTGCTGACAATCGTCAAAATAACAGAGGCACAGGCACAAGCACCATGTACCGTTAGGGCGGCTTTTGTTGGCTTCAAGCAAAAAAGTCTATACAAGCGTACCGCCACCCCCGACCGGCAAAAAACATAAAACAGAAAGAAAGGACCACAAATTAGGGAATCGGCATCGGAATGTTGCACCCGTGACTTTAAAATGGGCATTTATTATAAATCCTCCAAATTATAGTCTTCAGGTCTCGCATCCTTTTGTCCTTAGCTCGCTTTAGATTGATGGAACTTCATCAGGTTGAATAAAAAATAATTTATCGAAACCCATCCTGTTACGCTTGTTTACACCGTGGCGCCCAAGTTAGTTTACAAAGGTACGAGTTATTTGTTTGCATATTTTTCCTTAACATAGTAAATCCTTCACTTAAGGACGACACTTTATTGTATTCTATAAAGATAAGGAGTTAATGAAACTTATAACCCTTTTCTTAGAAACCAGATAATAGAACTAATAGGCACAAGGAAGTAGTTTACGGAAGCATTTAAAACATTCTTATAAACTCGTAAATAGATTATGATTTTATAAAAATAAGATGACAAACAATTGCACAGGCTACCTCC